TGGCGCAACCAGCAGATTGCCCAGCGTATCTTGCAGGGGCCCCACGTTTCCCGGTGCCTTCTTCATCCTCCCTATATATTTGAAAAAGGACTTATCTTTGATCTTGGACGCTAGTCCTAGCTCTATGTCCGCCTTAGCTTTCCTAACAGCCCCCCTACAGGCCCGAGCAGTGGAGGTATACTCCTCCTTGGAGATAGCCCCCCCGCTTCCACCTGGTGTACGCCACCTTTTTGGCAACCAGGCATTCCCGGACGTCCTTGGTGAGCCAGGGGGGCTTTTGGGCACTCTTGCCCCCCTTGCTTCTTGTTGGGATCGTCCCCCCTCGGGCCCCGAGTATCGTCTCCTTAAGGAACGACCGCTCATCTTGGGCACTGAGTTCCCCTGCCCTCGAGAACCCCAGCGCCTCTCCCACCAATCTCAACTCCTTGAAGTTGGCCCTCTTGAAGTCTAGGGCTACCGCCTTACTGCAGGCCCTTGACACCCTGCGCTGGATGATGAATTCCAGCAAGCAATGATCACTATCACCCAGGTGGTCAAGGAGCTGGGGCCCCCTTACCAGATCGCCTGTGGCCAGGACCAGGTCCAACAGGGCATAAACAAATATCTATTTGTTTAGATATTAAGCTATATGTTGTTGCTAAAAGCCTAATTGGTTTAAGAAGTAGTGAGGCCTTGTATGAAGTAAGGCCTAGTAAATTTACAAAGCCTTGAAGTAGTAAGACCCTGTGGCTTAGTAAAAATTACCTTATCAAAAGAATGCAAGGCTTGTACTGCTATTGGTCAGTCTAAGGACAGTTGAAGTAAAAGGAATCTGCGTGGTTGTACGTTATCAGAACCATTCAGAAGCTATAAATTAGCTGGAATATCTGGAAACCATTCGGAAGGAAGATACAGCTCTGTGAAAAGGATTAGTTAGCTGTTGCCTGGATCAGTGGGCCCATGGACCTCGAGGAGCCCAAGGACTGCATTCCAGGGTCCTTCCCAGTATCCTTCGGACAGCGCTGTTCGGGGACGCCCGACTTTGCTGAACTTTGTGGAAAGAGAAGCTTGCTGTGTATAAGGCATCAGAGAGGACTGCCAATAAGTTGCCAACGTGAATTGCTTTGGTCTGTCATCATTTGTCTTGTTACTACACGTAGTTGTTTTTTTAAGTCAATACATCTTTCTTACCTTTCTGCCCCTGACCATACTCTCAATCCTGAACCCTCCGCAGGCGGTTGGGACACCCAGTGCTACCCAACATATTTATTAATTATTTGGATGCTGACATAGATTTCTTGAGCAAGTTTGCAAACATAAAACTGGAAAGGGATTGCAAACATTTTGGAAGATGGGAGTGCAATTCAGAAGGATCTTGACAAATTTGAAAGCTGGGCTGGAGCTAACGGGATAAAGTTCAATGCTAACAAATGCAAGGTGTTATACCTTGGGAAGAATAATAAAAAATATAAATATAAAATAGGTGATACCTGGCTGGATGGCAGCACTATGGAGAAGGATCTGGGACCCTTGGTACATCACACCTGCAATGTGATGCATCTGCACAACACAGGCAAATGTGGTTTTGGGATACATCAATAGAAGCATTTGGTGCAAGACATGGGAGGTGATAGTGCCTCTACTCAGCACTGGTTAGACCTCATCTAAAATGCTGTGTGCAGTTTTGGGCTCCACATTTTAAAAAGGACGTGGAAAAGTTAGAGAGGGTCCAAAGGCAGGCAACAAAAAATGATAAAGGGCTTAGCAAGGCAAGTCATATGAGAGGTTAAAGGAAACAGGCATGTTCAGCTTGCAGAAAAGGTGCTTAAAAAAGAACAAGTCTTCAAATACTTGAAGGGCAACCATAAAGACAAGGGAAAACACCTTGAGCAGAGTATGGTTCACTGGCTTTAAGTTGCAGTAAAGTAGGTTTAGATAGGATAGGGAAAACATCAACACTGTTAGAACAGCAAGGCAGTGGAATAGACTGCCTAGGGAAGTTGTGGAATCTGTCACTGGAGGTGTTCAGGAGGTCAGATAGATATAGGTCAGAGATAATCTAGGCAAAGCTATGCTTCTGTTCTGCTATGGGCATTTTCCATACTTTTGGGCTTTGTTGGTTCCTGCACTGGGGCCCAGAGAGATTTCCCCCCAATCCCTGCTGCTATACACACCAGGTTTTTTTTTTCCCTTTAAAGCATCATCCAGGGCCATTAAGAGTTGACTGCAGCCACGTCTGGGGATCTTGACTGAGTTATGCCGATGCTTTTGCTGAGACTTAAACCTGGGGGTTCCTGGCTAGAGGGTCTTGCCTCTCTGCTCAGGGTCAAACTGATCTCTGGGAAGGAATTTTACCCTATTTTCAGATTGGTATGGACTATGGGGGTTTTGCCATCCTCTGTGGCAAGGGACACAAACCTATTGCAAGGATCTCTTAAGCGTATTTTAACAACCTTTGCAGCAGCAGGATGTTAGCCACCCTACTTTACCTGTGGCAGATTAGGGCATTACATCTTGTGTTGCATCAGAGTTGACTGCGTAGTTGTGCTGAGAAGTTAGACAATGGATTTGTATAGGGATGATCCTGCCTCAGGCAAGGGCCTGGACTAGATGACCTATGGGGGTCCCTTCCAGCTGTATTTCTCTATGATTCTAAGCACTTGTCCGGGATGGTTTGGACAGGGATGATCCTGCCTTGAGAAGGCAGTTTGACACATGAGATCCCTTCCAGCTCTACTATTCTATGGTTCTGTGACTGAGAACTAGAATGAGGATGTCTTCAGGCAGTGATGTCTTGGGAAGAATTTGCATGACAAGCTGCATACTGGACGTCAGGACCAGCAATGCAGGGTACTGCAATTACTAGAACTCTTTCTTTAGCAGTAGGAGCAGCTGAAGCACACTACTACTGCTTCCTCACCTCTGATGAACCTGCCCGGTAGTGGCTGCAGTGGTGAAGCAACAAAACCTCAAGTGAACATCACCATGTGTTACATCCAGTAATGTTACATTGGGCCTTGTACCAGGTGTACATTTCAAGGCTAGGACATGGTTACTCCTTAACCAATAACAAATTTATTAAGCTTTTAGCAATTAGAATTCTATTATTGTGGTTAGTCAAAAGTAATACAACACGCTCGCTGCCCCAAAGTACAACAAACTTGACAACACTGGATGATTACTCTGTAAAGTCTCATCCAGGGACTCCCAGCTCCAAGGTCTGATGTCTGTACAGCGTGGAATTTTCATGGATTGCTGTCAGGATCTCTTCAGGAGGGGCTCTGAAGTGCGAGTTTGTTTTCTCCTCATATACCATATTTCTTATCATATAGTTAATGAATATTAATAAGTCTATTTCTGCTTACCATATCTGATTACTCTTAACTAAAATTTACCAAATTTTCTAGCTGTTGATACCTTTTTTCATTCTTAGGTGGGGGTCAGTTTTGCTGACTATCGTTCCTCTTTTCCTAAGCCAAATTTCCTTATTTTGGTTGGCCCATTTCTTGTTTTGACTTTGGTTATCCAGACGAGACATCTCCAGACTTCTTTTTCTTTGCCAAGAATGGAACACAGTCAAGTGACCTTCATGTCATCTCTTGTTGATGAGTTGCAGCTTTGCAGCTTGGTTGAAACCAAGGTTAAATTTGCCAGCTTGGAGACCTATGCTAAGCAGAGTTGAGAGAAGGAAAAACCAGGCCCACAGGCCTCTGGGTCCTAACACATTTGCCTAAAATTTATGGAAAAACAAAAACCCCATAAATTGTTTTGCATGCTCATGTGGGGAATTGGCCTAGTTGAGTCCTGTGAAATTGCCACTGGACTAAGGCCAAAGATTTGCCATTAGGCTGAAGGTCTTCCCAGCCCCGCCTTAGTAGGTGCTCTCCTCTGTGATTTGCTGACTTGACCCACCTCCAGGACAGAAACTGGAACAGATTTAAGGCTTTAAAGGACTATGAACTCTTACTTTAAACTTTAAGAGGAAGCCTAAAATCATAATTGTCAAGCTATGAACAGTCCAACGCATGTTGGAACCTTATTTACATTGTGTTCAAGACTAGATTCTTGTTGATATAGTTTGAGACCACCACCGCTTATGAGAAAAGACTGGTTGGGTTCTTAGACTGTGATACTTAAGAGAAACTCAAAAAGATGGGAGTTTATCCTCATTTTGGACATATTGATGGATGATGGATCCATTAATAGCTATTAAACAGTGGTCAGTAGTGCATCCTCTGGCGCAGCTAAACCAATGATCATGAATGCCAGGAAGGATATGACAGGGGATGGAGGACACTAGACATGCCCTATACACATACTCTCACTCTAAAGCACCCTCTGCTGTTGCTAACAGAGACAGAATCCTGGACTAGATGGACTGGGACAGTTGGTCTGACCCAATGTGGCACTTAAGTGCTTTGTTTCTTTTAGGCTTGTCCATTCCTTGGCTTTGATATACTTTCCACTCAAAAGTACAGGTATGACACTTACTTGAACTTCAGTGCATGGTATTTCTCAGCTTTTACTATATAACCTAGCTAGCTGCAACTGGGGCTTCATTGTCTCCGATTCTGTGTAAGATAGCTGTTGCAACTGGGAAAAAGGAGGAAACCTTTTCCACTAGTAGGACTATACCTTTTACCTGGTCTTTCCAATATGACCTTAGGTGGCCTTGAGTCAGCTCTCCAAGACCAGAATCAAAACATTATGGTTGAGCACTGACAATGCTTACTTACAATGAAAAAAACATCTGTTTGCTCTTTATTTCCCTATTTTTTCCCTGTAACTAATTAGTAAAAATGGCCTGATGGATGTTTTGACTGATTTCATCAACATCCTCACCTGAAATCATTAAAACAATTAAGGTGTAAAAGTAACCATTAGCTCGGTCCCAGAGTCATATGGATGGAGCCTAAACTGAAAAAGCTGGCTAAAAACGCAGTGAACTAAAGGGAGAACATCTTTCTTTGAATGAAAAGAACTTCAGACATTTCCCTA